AGAGCCCTGACTCTGGAGCCCAGCTGCTGGGATTCCAGTCTCATTTCTGCCCCTTGCTGTGTGACCTGGAGTTGCTTCATCTCTCTGAGTCTTGGTTTCCTCACCTACAAAACAAGGTGAAAATACTACCTACCTCTGAGGATTTAACAAGATGATGCCAGGAAGTCCTTGGCCTGGTGTCAAGTGTATAGTAAACACTCAACACATGTTGGCTATTTCCATCGGGGGGTGTCCCTGAAAGTGGAGACATGGGTCCTGCAATTCTTAGGTCCTTCTTCACTCCAGTTGAGACATGTGACCTTTGGTTCATGTAAACAATAATTTCTCTCTCTCCCCTCTTGACACTCCTGGGCCCCAGTGGGGGGTGCTTGCTACCTTCTGTAGCTGTGGCTGTGACCTTCCTCTGGTTCTTCTTTTGGTCCAGGCATATGTCAGATCTTCTGAAACTCAAAGCTCCCTTTTTTTTTTTTTTTTTTTTGGCTTTTTCTCTAACATCCCAGAAAAGTTAAAAAAGAGTTTTGAAATACTCTCATCTAATGGCACCATCATCATCATCATCACCATCATCACCATTGCCATAAGGGATGAACAAGCTCTCAGCAAGATTCTATTCATCTAGACAGACACAGGGGAGATCCTCCCTGTCGCGAATCCCAGAGGCCAACATCTCCTCAGCCTGTGCCCCCAATGCCCCTCCTGTTTCCCCAGTGTACAGGTGAGGAAACAGGCCAAAGAGGGAAAGTGACTTGCCAGAGTCAAGTAGCGGTGAAAGTCAATCTGGATTCTCACTCCAAACTGCAGGTTCTTTTGGAGGCAAGGGAAGCAAGATCTCGAGAGGATGGGGTGCTCTTGGTGCACCCTTCTACTGCAGAGTTTCCAAGTCCCCAGATACCCACTCTCTTTTCCTAGCATACAGCTTGCTGTGTCCTACTGCCAGTGCTCATCGGGCGTGGGGAGAGCCCCAGCCTTGCCCCTTCTCTCTCTCTCCTCTTTCATACTCTCCTCCTCCCCTGCACTCCCCTTCCCTTTCTTCTCCCTGCTCTCCCACTCCTTCTGTCTCCCTCCCTGTCTTCCTCCTCCCTCCTGGAAAGCCCCTGCCCCAGTGACTCCCATCTGGAGTCAGCTTCTGGGGCTGCACATCAGCTCTGGGCTGTGCTCCACCCTCCGCATCTAGATGAAAAGCTGCAGGCAGGAATATTGAGAAGGTTGGGGGACAGAGCCAGCTGCAGTGCAGGCATCTCTAGCTGGGCTGGGCAGCTCAGTGGCTAGTCACATGACCTCCTCTGTCCACCGCGTCCTTGCTCTAGGACCCAGTGCTTTTCCAGTTTTGTGCCAAGCTATATTTCTAACAGCTCATTGTGAGTGAGTGAGTTTAGGGACACATTTTGTAAGATTCCTCCTGAGTCCTGAGATGTAGTCCAAGTTGTCTGTCACACCAGCTGACTCAGTCAAATACTTGTATTGGTTCTTGCTCCTTCCCTGTTCTACACCGCTCATTCCTCACATTTGTTCCTAGAATCACATCCCTAAGTAACATACCTGCATGTAAGCCTTTATATCAGGCTCTGCTTTCCAGGCAACCCAGGCTAAGGCAAGAGATACAGAAAATAGAATGCAAGAAATTTCATTGTATGGGAAGTTGGGGTCCTCAACAAAAGAAGAGAGAATAACAAAAATGATATTTAAAGAGATAATGGTTGAGATATTTCCAAAATGATGCAGACATCAATACAGATCTAAGAAGTCCAAAACTGATACAAACATCAATACAGATCTAAGAAGTCTTGCAGAACCCAAGCAAGATTAAAAAAAAAGTCAAAAAATAAAACTGCAAAAACCAAAGACAAGGAGAAATATTAAGAGCAGCCAAAGGAAAAGTGGTAGATTACCTTTAAATGACCATTCGTTAGTTTGACAGCCAACTTCTCAACAGAAGCATGGGAAAACAGATACCAATGGAAATGAGATCATTGAGGTGCTGAAAAAAATAATTACCAGGCTAGAGTTATATACCCAGTCAAAATATCCTTTAAGAGTGGTCATGAAATAAAATACTTCCAAGCAGACAAAAATTGAATGAATTTCTTATCAGCAGACCTTTATTAAAAGAAATGACAAAAGTCCTTTCAGGCAGAAGGTTAATTATTCCAAATGGAAGTTTGGAGGTATAGAAGAGATATCAAAAAATGATAAATATATGGGTAGATCTAAGTTAATATTGTCTATATAGAACAATAATAAGATGCATACAACTATAATAATACTGCCTTGTAGAATTAAAAGAGAGAGAAAACTAAAATGCATGATTTATAAGTTGGAAGAGAGGTTTATATGTTGTTAAAGTGAGTTCTTAAAGTCTTTGTATTCACTGGAAATAGGGTAAGGTACCAATTAATATTGAAGGCTGCAACTTATAATATAGGGTAACAATTAAAATAGTAAGAGTTTATAACTTCAAGCTAATGGGGAGAAGGCAAAAATTAGAATAATAAAAAATAGTCACTCTAAAGGAAAGCAAAAAAACAGAACATAGAACAAACAGGGCAAATAAAAAGTACTGAGTTAGATGGTGGATTTAAACCCAAATATATAAATAGTTACATTAAATGTAAGTAGACTAAATGTATGATTTAAATGGCAAAGATTGCCAGAGTGGTTTAAAAAACCAAGGTGAAGCTATATGCTGTTTAAAAGAGACACATCAAAAACATAAGGCTACAATAAGATTAACATTAAAGGAATAATCCACTGGACACAGTGGTTTCCCCCTGTGTGCCAGCTACTTGGGAGGCTGGGGTGGGAGGATTGCTTGAGCCCAGGAGTTCAAGACCAGCTGGGCAACACAACAAGACCCTGTCTCAAAAAAAAAAAAAAAAAAAAAAAAGAAAAGAAAAGAAAAAGAAAGAAAAGAAAAATAAAGGGATGGAAAAAATATTCCATGCAAATATCAACAAAAAGAAAGCTGATGTGACTATACTAATATCAGATGAAATATAATTTACAGCCAAAAGAAAACATATTTAGAGATAAAGGGAGACGCCTCTTTTAGAGTCAATTCATCAGGAAGTTACAACAATTTTCAACAGCACCTAATACACAACAAATAGATACATACATAAATAATTGTGCTAGATAAATATATAAATAGATAAAGTTTCAAAATGTCCAAAGCAAAAACTGACAGAACTAGAGAAAAAGAGAAATTCACAGTGGAAGTGGAGACTTTTAACAAGTCTGTCTCAGTAAGGGATGAAACACGTGAGTAAAAGTGAGATGGGACATGGATTTGAACAACATGATCAGCAAACTTGACCCAGTGGATACGTAAATAGTCTTCTACCCAGTAATTACGGAATACTACTTTTCCATCTCGAATGGGACCTTTCTGAAAATAGGCTGAGTCATGCAGCAGGCCTCAACAAACTTCAGAGCACTGAAGTCATAGGACAGCATACTCTCTGAGCACAGTGCAAATAAGCTAAACACCAATAACAAAAACCATAAAATAACAAAAACCATAAAATAACAAAAACTAAATGTTTAGAAATTTTAGAAATAGGCTGGGCATGGCGGCTCACACCTGTAATCCCAGCACTTTGGGAGGCCGAGGCGGGTGGATCACCTGAGATCAGGAGTTTGAGACCAGCCTGGCCAACATGGTAAAACCTCATCTCTACTAAAAATACTAAAATTAGCCAGGCATGATGGTGTGCACCTGTAGTCCCAGCTACTTGGGAGGCTGAGGCAGGAGAATAGCTTGACCCAGGGAGATGGAGGTTGCAGTGTGCCGAGATCGTGCCACTACACTCCAAACTGGGTAACAGAGCAAGACTCCATCTTAAAAAAAAAAAAAAAAAAAAAAAAATTAGAAATATTTTTCCAAACAATCCATGATGCAAAGAAGTCATAATGTCAAGTAGAAAAGCCAGAACTATACCCCCAAAGGGCAGGTACCTCTGCAGACCTGGCCCTGGCACAGAATATCTGGGAGCAGGTTGGACAGCCAGTCTGTTTACTCTGCAGAAATTTCTTTGTGGAATAGCAAAGGGGTATTGCAATGATGCCAAATAAACACAGAACAGGATCCTAGAAGCTGAAGGAGGAATCCTTGCCTAGAAGCCCTGGAGGAGCTCTGTTTGTTAATTATTTCTGTAGTAACCAAGGGAACATTGGTGAGCTCCCCACAGAGTAACCACAGGTCAGCATCAAAGTAGGCAAGTAGCTGGCCAGCAGTATTTCACAGCATCTTTGCTTTTCTTCCCGAATCTGCAGTTTGAGAGAGGCAGCTTGCCCTGGGAACTCTGCTGATAGGGCATCATACAGCACAGTCCAGAATCCATTTCGTTTTTGTCACACTCTCTGTACAATATGAAGTAGGAAAGTTGTATTCGTTTGTATTCATTTGCTGCTGTAACTAAGTATCATAGGCTGAGTGGCTTAAACCACAGAGATCTGTTTCTATGGAGGCCGGGAAGTATAAGATCAAGGGGCTGCCAGATGGGTGTCAGGAGCAGACCCAGACCACTGAGATTCCACTTCTGTGGCACTGATTCAGTGTGTCCTGATGAAGAACCAGCCCACCCTAGCAGAGGGATGACCCAGGGACCGGACCATGCTCCTCATGCACGCTACTCAGAGCCAGGTTTGCTCCCTCGCTCTTGCCTGTGCTCTAGTCCAGTGCCGCCCGCGGCCTCCAAGTGATGGTGGCAGTGCGCCTATCTGACCTGCTCTGCATGGCCTCTGGGCACTTGCAATGCAGCTACTGCAGACTGGGAACCAAATTTCTATTCTGTTTAAGTTACAGCTAAATGGCCACGTGTGGCTGATGCATCGGTGCAGTCAGCCATCCTTGGTAAGGCACGTGAGCTCACCAAGGAGCAGTCAGCGCTGTGAGTGTGAACCCTCCAGGAGAAAAGGCCCCTTCCAATTTTGTCTGTAGGATTATATTCAGGGAAAAAAAAAAGAGTTTCATTATTGGACCAAAAAAATCACCACAAACAGAAAATGAACAAAATAAAGCTTTATTTGAACTCCCTCCCCTACAGATCATTCAGATGCCCGGGACCATGTCCAGATTCCTCTCAGCAACATGGAAAGTTAAGCCATTTCACAAATGCACAGCCATAGCTACCCTACAGCCCCCCATGCCCAGGGCACAGACCTTTGTTGCTAAGTCTGTAACAAAACAGCACCACTCAGTATTTGTGTGCACTGCAGCCACCACCACCTCCTGGGCATCACAGGCTCACTCACCCAAGAGGCCAGCACCGCCATGGCCGAGTGGGTACTCAGTAGCCCAGACACCCCCCCAACACCGGCACTGCCACAAGGCCCTGAGGGGTAGACTGTGCGGCAAAGAGGACACACTCTCCCTGACCTAAGGGACCCGGCTCACTGGGCCTCCTTCCCCTGCCAACCACCAGCTCCTGCATACCTAGCTGGGAGGTAAGCACCCACTGGTGGCATGATTTCCATTATCTTGCTAATGTTGACAGCACCTAAGTCACATTAAAACAGAGAGAGACTGGATTCAGATCTCCAAGTCTCATCAGTGGACCTCAGTGGTTCTCACCGCCCCAACCACAGAGCGAAAGTCAGGCAGCATTTACCAGGACTTGGCTCTGACCAAGTTAGTGCTCTAACAAGTGACCTGAGTTTCTAATAGCTTCCCTGAAGAGCCCACCTATTTGGAGAGTGTTGCCTCTCCTATCAAGAGGCATCTGGGGGCACAAAAATCTTTCTGGATCACAGCTTGAAGAAACAGAACATGATTGGAGTAGCTTCAGAACTAAGGTGGCCACATTTACCCCATCACTTAGGAGTTAGCTCCACTATACACAACCAAGCACAGGAGAAACAGTCACCAGGAAAGGATGTTGGAGGCTTGGAAGTTCTCAAGGGAGCTGTTTAGACAGAGGTACAAACATCTCCAATTCAGACTTCCAAATACACTAACAATAATTAAAAATGTGGCCTCTGATCCTCATGTTTCCCACCAGTAGAGGCAAAAAAGGAGATTTTCATAACTATATGTTAAAAAGAACATGTTCAAGTAAATCCACACACTACATGTGAGTGTTGTATGCTGTTCTTCCACAATATAAAAGTATAAAAATACGATTTCTGCCCTTTGTATCTAGACACATCTGGAGAAAACACTGTTGCTACTAGCTAACTAGCTCTGTGTTATCTGAGCAGGCGTACTATCCCAGGGCCTCACCTTCCTGTGCTGGCTCAAGAGGGCAGAGAAATGGAGATGGCAATGCCTCTTCATTCCAGGAGACCAAACTCAGGAGGACAGAGCCAGCCCTAGCATGTTGCATAGCCTCTCCACGGGTGATACTCCTGGGACCTCCAATGGATGGGAGAAAGGGCTCTCAGCCCAGCTTCACGTGAGGGTGGTGTGGGTCATGTGTGGGGCGGGGGCTGCTTCTGGGACTTAGGAAGATGCCAACCTCAGGGGTACCCTCTGGGAAGGACAAGCCAGGGCCTGGGTGCCCGCCCATCCTAAGAGCCCCTCAAAGCGCCAGCTCACTTAGCGGCAGGCTGCTTGTCCTTGCACTTCTGGTAGGCACTCAGGATCTCCGTGATGATGCTGGGGTCCTCCAGGGTGGTAGTGTCCCCCAGCTCCTGGGCCTCACTAGTGATGATCTTCCTCAGGAGCCGCCGCATGACCTTCCCAGACCTGGTTTTTGGAAGACGTTTTACCACCTGGCAAGGAAGAGGCACGGTATTAGAGTGTGGATGATGCCCAGCCTCCGTGGTAGTATGGACTGCATTGAGATGAGAAGGGCTCTGCTCAGGGGGGATGCCCTCCCGGGGATCCACAGTGGATGTCTAAGCCTCCACCCCCAGAGAATGGTGAGGCCTGAGGTCTTGGCTTTATCCTTCCATTATCTGGACCTAAGCTGAAACCCACCCCGATGCCCTCTGCCAGGCAGGGTCCACCCAGGCTGGGTTCACCCCATACTGCCGCCTGTCTGTCCTGCCACTGTGCCACGTGCAGACACCCAGGTGGCAGCAGGTCCAAGCACCCACTGGGTGCCTCATCTCCATTCCCCGGCCTGGGACTTAGCGGGTTTTGTCTTATGTAAGAGGTGAGAACTACTTAAGAGAAAAGTTTTGTCTTAGTGTTTGAAAAGCTAACATGGAGCATGCTCAAACAACTACAGCCCATTCACTGCAAATGGCAATACATTAAGAGCTGTTGTTTGGGATCTTTGACAGTCACTCTGTCTTTTGAAATAGTTCAGTTCACCTAGGGTGAGTCCAGGTCTCCTGAAACTCTGGTCACTTGGCCAAATGTGTCAACTCTCGTAATACCAAGTGGAGCCTGGCCCTGCTGCCTCCGAGGGCCACCAAACCCAGAGTCACTGCGCACAATGTTCATAAAGGAGGGAATGAAAAACCGAGAGCTGAAGAGGCAGCCCAATCCTCCCCCGATTCTGACCCCCTGGGGTGGGGATCTGCGATCTCCCTCACTGCCACCAGGAAAAGTGCTCAGGAACCACACAGGGGCTGGAGAACCCTGGTATTGTCCCCATGTTTCTAATGAAAATCCCTAAGATTCTTCACCAGCAGCCCCATTTCTGTGACTAGCCTGCACATGCCAACATACTAGAGCAGAAGCCTGCCTAGGTGACCTCCTGAACAGGTGAGCTGGCTGGGCGTGGAAGCCTAGGTGACCTCCTGGACAGATGAGCCCACTGAGAGTGGAAACCTGCCTAGGCGACCTCCTGGACAAGTAAGCTGGCTGAGCTTTTGGAGCTGCTAAGCTCTTGGAGCTACATCTCCTGCCTTCTCCTCTCCCTCTATGATAACACAGCGACCCACCAGCCTCACCACCAGCCAGGAAAACCAAACAGCTAGTGTCAGTTTTGATGGTAATTCGAAAAGAGTAATATGCTCCTAAAAGATCATTGTCACTTAACAATTGTGGGAAGCACAGCAGCACAGCCCCACCTTTGTGGGAGGCCCACTCACCAGGATCTCATCAGGCACAGCATATTTGGCAATCTTGGTGGCCACCATGGACTTGAGCTCCTGCACCACCACATCTGAGTCACCTGCACTATCTTTCACCACAATGAAGGCAAAGGCAGCTGAAAATAAAGTCAAGTTTGGGGATGTATTAAATACTAGACAATGAGCCAACTCCCGAAGCAGGGTGCTATGCACAGACTGCCAGAAATCCAAAGGGCTTTTGAATTCTATGTTAGGGACATTGTAGCAGCTGGTTTCTTTAGTTGCAAACCCAAAGATGCACTTCAGTTTCACGAAAAGTGGCAGCGATTCTAACAGCTCCACAGATGTTCCAGGTGAGTGCACATGTGTGGCTAAGAGTTTGGCATCTCAACTCTAATGCTGACTAACTGTGTGTGACCTGGGACATGGGACCTCCCCTCTCTGTGTCCTCATCTGTGAAATAACCCATAATGTGGTTTGATAGAATGAGACTTCCATGAGAAGGTGCACAGATGCACAGCAAGTGGGCACCAACAGCCTTTGGGGGCGTGTGTGCAACATGGTACCATGGGCCAGGGTGGCTATTTCAGTTCAATTAAATCAGCAGCTCCCCGGCTGCATGAGTCACACTTCAAATGCCATTCAGCACCATGCACAGCCAGAGGCTGCCACCCTGGACAACACAGACGTGGGGCAGCTGAGAGTTCTGCTGGGCAGCACTGGCCAGCCCACATTTTAGCACAAATACTAGGTTTCATTTTTCAGTACCTGGCATGTTCCAGGAAGGATGTTCCAGGATGTGAAGAGGGATCTAATTTGATTGCTTTTCATATAAAGAGTCGCTTGTCCCAGCGCCATCCCTGACAGCCTGCCCGTCCCCACTGGCCTGTAAGGTGCTTTGTCTCTCCCACGAAGTTTCTATATATGTGTGGCTCTCCTACTGCTCATCTGCACCAGCGCCATGCCACTTTCACCCATTCTTCCCCTGGCATGTAGCACCTAATTAACTGTGTCGTTTCCTCAGTGATCATCTTTCTTGCTCTTTGTCTGCCTCTCTCCTCTACTCTCGACCCCTCCAGCATGCTAGCTCTATGGGGGCAGAGACCTTCTCACTCACTGCTGTGTCCGCAGCATCTAGAACCATGCCTGGAACACAGGAGGTGCTCAACACATGGTTGTTTAGTGCATGAATGGATGATTGGTTTTCCGAACAAGCTATGATCTGTAAAGATCTACAGCCTTTGCCTGAAAGGCCTTCCCATATCCATGTGGCAAACTCCCATTCATCCCTCAAGATGCAATTCAGCCACCTCCTGCTCTGTGAAGCCTTTACCCATGAATCTAGTTTATGGCACATGCTGTGCGGGAACAGCTGTCAGTCCCCCTGCTGCCACCCCACTAGGTTGTTAGGTCTTTGAGGGAAAGAACACTGTTTTTCTCATCTTGGTCGTTGATATGGGATCAGAAGTGGGCCTGGGCTATTGAGTTCTGAGGATGGTGCTGGAGGGAGGAAACCCTCCACATGGGTGGAGGAGCCAGTTAAGAGCCAGGAGGAGGCAGGCAAGGCTCAGGACACTGGAGACAAGAGAGACAAGAGCTTGGCCAGCAGCACCAGAGGCTTGCTGGGTCTACCAGGGGCTGCCCTTTTTCAGAGCTGGTGCAAAACAGAGAGAGTGGGGACAAATACACGATACTCACAGGTGGCTTTACAGCCAATCAAGAGCTGTTTGTCAGCTCTTCATAATTATAGAATCGACACTCAAATTCATTAGAAATCAGGAAAATCATCATACCCATGATACACAAATTCTCCCCACACATCTGGCAGACATTAAGAAGCCTGGCAACACCAGACTTGCAATAGCTCCACACATGCAGAACGTGCCCTGGGCAGCAGCGTCCACAGCAGACTATGCCCCAACACCACCCCAACAGACCTAAGGCTAAGCTGCCCTATGAAAGACAGTGATTGCGATGCCCAAACGTTTGTCTAAAGGCCACTTCCACTGTCCTTTCCTTGATCTTGCACTTACTTTATGGAGTTCAATACAGGGGCTTCTGAGCCCCCAGACACAGTGGACCATGCACGGACCCCTCTCAGTGTCCCCAGGGAGTACTGGCTCAGCCACTGGACTCAGACATAGATGCGGCTTTCCAATCCCAGGACACCCCAGTGCCCTGTGGATCCCCAGCCCAGAGACGTGAAATGCAGGAGTACCCAGAGGAGGGGCCCAGGCTCCTGTCAGAGCGAGGTTTGAGCACTAAGTTATCCTAGACACACCTGAGAAACTGTCCTCATCTCCGTCCTCTCTGACCCTCCTGATCACATGTGGACGTCACTGGGCAGGGGTCCCCACCAGCTCTCTCCCACATCCCAGCCTTACCAGCACAGTCTTTTCATGGCAACTGAAAATGCTGTTTGTAAAGCACTGAAACAAATTCTCAATCTTGCAATGGGTCAATCTAAAGAAAGCATTTAAGTAAATAATGGAACAACGGCACATAGAAGTACAGGGAGGCAGGTGACATCTGGGACATACTCTTACACAGGGTGGCCTCCCAGCGGGAGGGCAAGCCGGACCCCAGGCCACTGGGCAGGGTGGGAGAAGCCAGTCTGCCCAGCAGTGCCCTGGCATTGGATCTGTGTGTGTCCAGGTCACGCCAGGCCAGACAGTGTGCCTGGATGGACCTGGCATTGCAACACCTGGGCGCTCCCGCCCCTTCCCAGACCCAGACACCGAGAAGCTGGCAGACTTGAAACAAAGCGTGGCCTTGGTAAAGAAGACCATTCTAGTCCCTCATTCTGCATTCCCCCGGCATGGCGCTGTGCAGTGGGAACCACAGGTCAGATTTGTCCAAAGAGTCCCAGGGCAGCACACAGCCTGCACGCTCCAGAGCAGCACACTCCAGCACACACACGTGGTGGCTGCAGAGCTGGCTTGAGTGCGATGACCAAGCCCATGAGGACACATGAGGCTGGACATTTTCTCATAAACTCCCTGTAACAGGGCTGGGTGATGTCTCCACCAGATAAACCATAGACAGACGGGGAAACCCGCCAAGCTTAGCCAAGCCCAAGTGGGTCACGGCCACTGTGGATGCGTGTCCTGGAAGGACAGCAGAACCAGGGCATTTCAGAAACCTGACCGAACACAAGTGCTGTTCAGCCTCGCCCCTGCAGTTTCCACTTGAGAGAGAAGAACACCGAGAGCTTGGCCCATAGTATCCCCTATCACCCCACTCTCCAGAGTCTGCTCCTCGTACAGAGATGCCCATAATGGTCGTGGGGTCAGCAATCAGGGAGGAGCTCTTCTCTAGGACATTCACCTTCTCCTTTGATGTCGTGGGGGTAGCCAATGACAGCACTTTCTGGCACTGCAGGGTGGTCGGCCTGTGTACAACAGAGAACAAAATGACAAAATGTGGCAGCCCCTGGTGCTAGAAGTGACTCGGACCAGGGACTCCCACCCCGACTTGCAGGCCCATAGGGGCATCATGGAGGTGCAGGAGTGAAGGGGGAGGCCCAGCCTGTGCTCACGATGGCGTCCTCAATCTCTGCGGTCCCCAGCCGGTGGCCACTGATGTTGATGACATCATCCATCCGCCCTGTGATCTGGTAATAGCCGCCCTCAGTTCGGTGAGCCCCGTCTCCAGTGAAGTAATAGCCTGCACCAGCAGAGAAATTCAGCACCAGGAACCCTGAGCCAGGACCCATGTCCCCACCTCACTAAGCATGAAGCTCTGCAGCCCAGCACACGGCTGCAGTCTCGCCCATCAGCCCTCCTTGCAACTCTGATGCTTCCCTATGTTCTAGAGCATGGGCAGGTGGCTCCAAGACATCGAGACTTCGGGGAGCAGAAGGTATACAGGCAGCACTTCCAAGATGCTTCTCCAAAACACTAAGTCTTGCTTACAAGCTTGAGACTGAAAATGACTGGTTCCAACAAGACAGAGGAGATAGCATTCATATAAATTTCCAACCCAAGGACAAAAAGGAAAACTAGGAAAAAATAAAAGTAAACTGGAAGAAAACTCCCAGCCTTGGTGACAGTCTTCTAAGGTACTTCTCCACCCTCCCTCCCCAGTAGCTAACAGGATCCTACCACGGGCCTGGCTGCAGGGCAGGACTTCACACCCACACCTAAGTAGCCCCAAGAAAGTCCCCGAGCAGGGAATCATGCCCACTGTCAAGATAAGGAAAGCCAGGGAGGTACAGCAAAGGGAGAGGGGGTCGGAGTCAAACTCTGGCCTCGGGAGCGCCTATTCCTGGCCACTGTGCTATGCTGCACTCAAATCCCATTAAAAATGGTTTCTGAGAATAAGATTCCAGCAGTCAGCTGAAAAGGAATGAGAGGGTCCCTGACAGCCTGCTCACCTGGGTAGGCCTTGAAGTAGGCGTCCACAAATCGCTGGTGGTCGCCATAGATGGTCCTGGCCATGCCCGGCCAGGCCTGAGAGATGCACAGGGCCCCGGAGACGTTGCTGCCCTCCACGACGCTGCCCTGTAGACCCCAGACATGCACGTGAGAGAGGGCAGGCTCTGGGTGACAAGTGTGCCAAAAAATGACAAGCCCTGCCCTCAAGGGAGCCGTCCATAGCTCTCCCCTTTGCCCCGAGGAGGGCCCCAAGCCACCTGTGTGGCCGCTAGCCAGTGCATGATACCAGTGCAGTGAACGCTGTGAGGTCAGCAGCCTCCTGCCAGGTACAGACCTGGGCACACAGGAGGGAGCTGGGCTGGGCAGGCTGGGATGAGGGAGGGCAAGCACATGGCCCCCATGCGGGGAAGGCCCATACACACCTTCTCATCCATGAGGACGGGGACGATGCCAAAGAAGGGCCTCATCGCCATGCCAGGGAGGATTTCCGCCCCTTCTTCCGAGGGCCGTGGTGCGATGCAGATGCCACCCGTTTCTGCAGGTATGACAAGGAAGAAATGCAAGATCGGCCCGGACCCAGGGATATGCGTATCCAGAGTGGGGGGTGGGTGGGACTGTCCCTATTGTGGGCAAGGAAATGCCTCAGGGGCACAACGATCTTTGAGGCAAACCAGATGTGAGTCTGGTGCCCTCCACTGCGGATATGAGAAGGAGCCCCAAGCTGGCCTCAGCCCCAGGAGCTCTGGCGTCCCACAGCCAGGTACAGGCCCCCTCGCCATGTCAGGGCCTTGCTTGAAGTAGGAAAGGGCAGAGCCCACCCACTTGCACATGAAGACGGGGGAAAAAGAATTGCTTCTGGGCCAGCGCCTGTTCGACAGGAACCCAGCAACGAAAAAAGATGCCCTCAAATCCTGCCATCACATTATTTCTCTGGCACTCGCCTCCACCAGGGAAATGCCCCAGGGACTCAGCTAGAGAATCTCTGCCCCAGGTTTTCCCAAATGGATGGGACTGTCCCATGGGAACATCTCATTTTCTGGCTTGAGGATGAGCCCTCAGATAGTTACATTCATTACATCTGTGGTGGTCTCTCTCCCCAAGCATCCTAATAAGTCAGATACCCAAGAGAAGGGGGGACAAATCCAAACAAAATGTCACAGGAAAAATTCCTTTTCTCACTAAAATTTAAATTTAGACTCACGCTTCCTTAGAAGATAGGGCCTGTCTCATCAGATGTTCCCCTGTTCAGAAAGGGGCACTTGGAAGGGACATGGCCCTTGAGCTCCTGCTGCACACCAGGCCTTGGGCAGCAAGCTGGGTTGTGTCGCCTCAGTTCACCCTCACCCAGGCCTGTGGGGGGCACCCCCACCTCACAAAGGAGGAAACCGAGGCTCAGGGAAGTCGTGACATGACGTCCCATAGCTGGGAAACAGCAGCCAGGCGACCTCTGAGTTCCCTCACTCTAGGCCCCAGGGTTTCCGCAGTCTCGGGCGTTGACGTGTCTTCTGTTGCACCTGCTGTTGAGAGCTCGGACCCCAGTCCCAGCCTCACACCCGTCCCTGCAGACCCAGCACTTAGACTGGAACCTGTTCCCCAGGCCTCCTCACCTGTCTGCCACCAGGTGTCCACCAGCGTGCACCTGCTGTCCCCCACCACCCTGTGAAGCCACTCCCAGGCCTCACAGTTGATGGGGCCTCACAGTTGATGGTTCTCCCACTGAAACCACACAGGAAAGAAAAAGATGTTAACAGGCTGCAAATAAACCTGAAACCAAAAGTAAGTTTTGGCTTATTCCTGTTTTTCTTTTTTGTTTCGCTTTTGTTTGGTTTGGTTTGGTTTGGTTTTTGTTTTGTTTTGTTTTTTGAGACTGAGTCTCACTCTGTCACCCAGGATGGAGTAGAGTGGCGTGATCTTGGCTCACTGCAACCTCCACCTCCCAGGTTCAAGCAATCTTCCTGCCTCAGCTCCTGAGTAGCTGGGATTACAGGTGCCTGCCACCACAGCCGGCTAATTTTTTGTATTTTTAGCAGAGATAGGGTTTCACCATGTTGGCCAGGCTGTTCTCGAACTCTTGACCTCAGGTGATCTGCCGGCCTTGGCCTCCCAAAGTGCTGGGAATACAGGTGTGAGCCGTCGTGCCCAGCCAAATGAAAAGATTTTTAAGGAGAAAACAGCTCTGTAATTTTTTTTTTTTTTTTTTTTTTTGAAGAACATACAAGGAGACCTGAAACTCCAGTGAGACATATCATATTTATGGTCATCAAAGAAATGCACATGACTGTGACGTATTTTTATCATTAGATGGTTGAAAATCAAAAAGCCAGCAAGAATGTGGGGAAAACAGGATTTCACAGACACCAATAGGAGGGTAGTGTGGTTCAGCAATTTTGGGGAGCAATCTGGATGTTTCTCTTAACATTTAAAACTCCATACATCCAATACAACTACTTTGAGCAACTGCTTGGGGTGAATCTACTACGTAAGGAACACCTCAAAACATGACCCCTGACGTACACCCCACAGAAATGACTGCAGATGCCACCAGAAGTGGCTAAGGTAAAGGGTGTCCCTGTGCAGCTCTGCTCAGTGCCAGAAACCACACACATCCCTCAGGAGTAGGTGGCAAAATACAACATGGCACGCTCCTGCAGAGGAACGCCACACTGCAAAGAAGATGGCGAACCTCCACGACCCACGGCGGCATGGGTGAGTCTGAGGCTACTGCCGAGAAAGGAGGGGTGTGCTGTGTGATCCCACCCAACTGAGGTCTGCGTGCAGCCACATCTGTCCGTGGTGATGCAGGCCACACTCGTGGTCACGGCTCAGGTAATTCGTGACTGGCAGGAGCCATAAGGGGGCCTCTGGGGACTGGGAATTCTGTAGCACTATACACAACATCTCTCAAGTTGAACACTTAACATCTGTATCCCTAGTATACATTATATCTCAATAGAAAGTGGAAAAGATACACATACACCCTAGCACTCTCAGTGTCTACCTTATGACATTTCCACACCAGGCCAGCACTCAGCCAGAACTCTCCAGGCTAGACGCGCTGCTCAAAACACTGAAAATATTCTCGTGCTGGTGTTTGCCCCTTGCTCAGGACCACTCACAGCCCACAGCTCTCGTCCCGGTAGCGTCCCCGTATCGTTGCATGATCAGTGCTGGCCACATGGGCGGCTCGGGTGTCTTATGTGTCACACCTGCACTCCAGAACATCCACAGGGGCAGGGAGATGCCCTGCAGCATCAGGACATGCTGGGAGACTGCGACAGCCTGCACCCAGCCACGGGGATGTGACCACACGAGCCAGGGCAATCCCCACAGCAGGGCAGATCCATGTGGAGAAATGCAGATTCTACGATCTTAAAATAAACATTACAGCATAATAGCACAGTGTAAGTACTTTGGTGCTAAAGAAAACATATCAGAGCCGCAATCCACTACAGGAACCGAATTGGTGGAGACGGGACCGAAGGCACAGGAGCAACAACACCTGGAGCAGACGTCAGGGAAAATCTTAGCTTTTTTTTTTTTTTTTTTTTAGAGAGACAAGGATCTCGCTCTGTTGCCTGGACTGGAGTGCAGTGGCACAATCATGGCTCACTGCAATCTTGACCTCCGGGGCTCAAGGCTCCTCCCATCTCAGTCTCCCAAGTAGCCAGGACTACAGGCATGTACCCCCACGCCCAGCTCCTAAGGACATCAGCTTTAAGTTCAATGCTCCAATTTCTTCTTTTCACAAGAGCTTATCCATGTATTACTTATGAAATTGAAAGTTTAAAAAAGCTTTGAGAAATACACTTCTATGGGGAGGGTCTTGAGTAAGTGGGTTTCTGATGACTCAGTGTTGTGAGGGCTGATCCTAGCTGCCTGGAATGGGTCTGGGCTCTGGAATTGCACTGACAAGTGTGCCAGCACAGTGCTGGCCCTGGCCAAGGTGTGGAACACACTGACCCCCAGCACTGCTCCAAGGTGCTGGGAGCCTCAGGTGCAAGACATCACAGGACGCCGTGCTGCCTGCCAGCATTGTATACCAAGAGCAGCACAACGAGGTGTGTGATTAGCACCTGGCCTCCTGCGGGGTTCTGCGGCTAGAACCGGTTATGCAACAGGAACAGGAATGTGCCTATTGACCAGCTAAATACACAAAACCCAGCTGAGCCTATGCTGGGGGCTGGCCCCCTGGCTCAGAGGTGTTCCAGGTCTGTGGGGACAGAGGCTGCTGGGATACACATCACACTCTAATGCAGCTGCCAGAGCACACCCCTTCCTGAAATGCACTTAGTGTGGTACCCCTTGTCACTGGACCCCGTGAATCTTCCTTCAGCAGACAAATCCCATGAGTGTATCTGGAAAACCAAATCTTGGCCTTCAGCCCTGTCCCCACCTAATGCCTAGGGCCCACTCATGTGGCCCTGCTGACAACACCTAGAGAATCTGGGAGAGTGTTTATGGCCCTGACCACCCCACTGTTTGTTCCCAGTTCCCAAGCACTGTATGGCCCGGGCAGTCAGAATCACACAGGCCTCTCAAGCCCAGCTCCAGCATGCCAAGAGAGACCACCCAAACTCACCACTTGCTGTGGTTTCAATGTTTGTCCCTTCCAAATCTCATGTTGAAATGTAATTGCCATTGTAACAGTATTAAGAGGTGGAACCTTTATGAGGTGATTATGCCAAGAGGCTTCTACCCTCATGAGTGGGATTGGTGCCATTATAAAAGGGTGAGGCCAAGAGGTTTCACCTCATGAGTGATTGGTGCCATTATAAAAGGGGTATTCAACTTCCTCTTGCTCTCTCACCCTCCCTTTGCCCTTCCACCACATAGGACAATGCAGAGCATGAAGGCCCCCTACCAGATGCCAGCACCTTGATGTGGACTTCAGCCTCCTGTGAAACGTGAACCAATAAATCTCTGTTCATTATAAATCATCCAGTTTCAGGGTATTCTATTACAGCAGCACAAAGCAAACCAAGACACACCATCTGGAAAGGAGCTCCATGCTCTCTTTCTGAGAGTGTGGAGGGACAGTATGGCAAGGGAAGCAGAGAGCCAGACCTCAGGACCTGCTGGGAGGGTACAGGGTGGGTGCCAGAGTCCATCAATCAGGTGGGGGCAGAGTGAGTTTTACTGACTCTAGAACCAGGTACTGGGTTCAGCACAGGGTGCCCTACTTGCTGAGTGACCTTGGGCAGGTCTTCGGGGCTTTGGACCTCTGTGCCTCCTCTTCCTCCTCTGTAATGCTAAGCAACATCTGCTCTTTGCTCAAAGGATGAAGATAAAGGCATTTAATACATATTTGCTCTTATTAATAGTATTCAAACCCCTCCTGCTTTTTAATCTAGAAAGCTCTTTGAGGAAAGAAGGTTTTTACTGTTAAGGGGAAAATAAGGGAAAAGAGGAGGAGGAGTCATTGGATGCCTGCTATTCCTCAGGAGCTCTCCCCGTTAATCATCTCCATGCTAAACATTACACTAAGGCTCACATATGACCCTCTGTGGCATCCTCACCACCCTGCAGGTAGGTCTCATCCCCATCTCACATTTGAGAACAAGTGGTGAACTCTGCAGGGCACAGCCCCAGCTGCAGTGCCTCTCAACCTGTGGCCCAGATGCCCACGTGGCCTCATGGTCACCCAGCAGTAGCAGAATCACATGTTCACCGCACTCCCTTCCCAAGGATGCATGTGGTAGAATGGGACACTCTTCCGTAGTCACTGCCCTGCATGCTTCCCCAGTGAAAAGCCACCAAGCAGGTGGCTGACCACACATGACCACACATGTAAAGGCAGACATGAAATGTGGCAGGGACAGGAGAGGGAACAGCAGTCACCAGCACCCAGTCCCTCCCAGCACCAGCCCGAAAGACAGACACCGCCGACACTGTCGAAACCATGCCACCGTCACCTTTCCAAAATGTTTCCACATGACCTGGCAATATCTATCAACATTACCAATAGGCCTAAGCTTTGAACTCTCTGCCTGGAAACATCTACAGTAGCAGCAGGGCAAAAGCGCAGGATGGTATCCACTCCACGGACTTGGAGACAATCAAAAGGTCTAACAACGGGGCAGTGTTTAGCAAACTGTAGTTATACTATTATTATTATTATTACTATTTAGAAGACTGAGTCTCACTCTGTCACCAGGCTGGAGTGCAGTGGTGCAATCCTAGTTCACTGCAGCCTGAAACTCCTGGGCTTAAGCAATCCTCCCACCTCAGCCTTTGCCACCACACCCAGCTAAGTTACAAAATTAAATCCCATGCAGCCACTAAAGAAATGACTTGGCCCTTAACTTATTGAGTGGGTAAGTATTCCTAATGAAGATTAAGCTACAGAAATTGGGCACAGAAACGATGGCACAGAAAATGTCTAGAATGTTTTTCCCCAGACTGGTAACTGCTGCCAGCTCTGGGGAGGTACTTATAGGTGGGAAGAGGTGCTTTCTACCAGATCCAGTCTGGCGTTGCATGAATTCACACATACAAAGCCGGGCAGCTTCATGACTGAAGTCCTGCTGAAGCGCGTATTGGCTCTGAGGGTCTAAGGCAAGTGCACCCTCTCCTGCTGCAGGGCAGGCCACTCACCTGACCCCAGGGTCCGCAGGGAGGAGCGATCGTACTTCTTCACCCAAGCATCACCGTATTTCAGCAACAGCCGGACAGCCGTTGGAGCGCCATAGAACTGATTGATCTTCAACCTCTCTACTGTCTCCCAGTACCGACCTACAGAAAGGCCGAAATTCACTGTCAGCAGGAGAGCTGACATGATCTACTTTAAACTTAGAGATCAGCCAAGACTTCCTGAGTGCTGGGCATGTGCAGACGTGCATATGTCCATATAAAAAGGATCCCTCCCAACCCCCCCACCAGTGAAAGACGGAAAGAAGCCCCATAGGACAAGTCTCCAATGGCTGGTCTCCTCCCAGCACTCCCCAGATCCATGGGTGGCATATTCAGGAACAGTCTTCACCTGGCTTAGGGTGATGGCCTAGTTCAAGGCGATACTATGTGGATTTAATAACCCGTGGAGCATTAACACAGAGCTTTCACTCGGTCACACTTACATGGGCTCTAAAGTGGTGACTGGGGCTTCCCCTCATGACAGCAGAGCTGCCACTGTGTGTGTCCCAGGGAGCAGGGCCATATGCCCAGCATGCACACCCCTGATTCCTGTAAACCCACCACCCACACCATCCCCTCCACATGGGACACTGAGCTTCCAGGGGCTGAAGTGGTGGCCTGAGACAGCACCTGGGCCATGGCCCTTAATCCCTGGTCTTGCCCCTACAACTTCTTCCTTGAGCACACCCAGACCCCAAAGGCAGGGATGGAGCACTGGGAGGTGATAACACAGTTCATGCACAGTTGTCAGCGCCATGGAACGCTGTGGCAGCAGCCTTTGGGCAGAGCCACCATGGTCTTCTTACATTAAAGCAGGTATTTGAAGACACTGCTGTGTGGGAGGATGATGCCCAAGGGAGCCAGACTTCACCTTGTTTTCAAAGTGATCTCAATGTAATGGAGATGGTTCTAGGCCATGCATAACATGGTCTGAGGGATGGCCCTGAAAGTTCAAGGGGCAGGGCTTGGGAAACAGAAGAGGCAGGCAGCTGGTCCTAGCCTCGAGAAAGGGCTGGATCTGGGCAGGCGGCCTAGAGGTGAGAAGGATACCAAAGTGATGGCCCGAGGCCGGCAGTTTAAGTCAGAGGGCAGGACTACAGGAGCAGGGGCCTTGAGATGTCCTCCAGCGCCAAGTCAGACTCCCTGCTGCTGCCCGTCGGATCTTTCTGAAGACCCGGTGCCTGGCCCCACCGGGCATCTCGACAGCAGGACCTGGAGAGTCACACCCTCACCAGAGCCCAGGTGTCCCCCTTCCATGAACCTCTCCACAAGCCTCAAGCCTCAGGCTCTCTCTCCTGACACCAGCATGGGGTCCCAAACAGGGTTCACCATCCTTACCAGCATTGGGGTAAACTGGGGTGCTCTCAAAAAGGACACTGGTGGCTCCATTGCAGAGAGGCCCATACACCACGTAGCTGTGTCCTGTAATCCAGCCAATGTCAGCCACACAGCCGAAGATGTCACCTGGCCGGTGGTCGAACACAAGCTGCAGAGACAGGAAGGGAGCATCAGGAGCTTGTCCCCCCACTCCACCATGTTCACCAGGTCACTAGGAAATCAGCATGCATATGCTGCAGGCCACAGCCGTGAGAGGCAGCTGGCTCGTCAAATGGCCTCCAGCAGCAGGACAGGTGGGAACACTGCAGAGTCCGTCTAGTTGTATGTTTAACATGTGGACACCTTTTTGCATTGCCTTATGCCACGATTTTTTAAACCCCTTAAGAACTACAAAAAATAAAAGTCAAAAAGGCCAAGAATGGCATCAAGCATCATCAGCTTCGAGAAGCATGAGAGGACAGACATCCGAATCCCCTTTATTCTTCCACAGCAGCTCACTGGAGCCTGATCCCATCTCAGGATCCAACTGCCCATATGCAGGAAACACAGAGGGCAGAGGGACAACAGGCACAACCCAGACTAAAGGACACCAGAGAAAAATGGCTGGACACGATAATGGCCAAGTGTAAGGAAATGGGGGAGCATAGGCTTAAAAGGACTTAAAAGACATATCAACAATATTTTAGGCCGGGCTCAGTGGCTCACACCTATAATTTCAACATTTGGAGAGGCCAAGGCGGGCGGATCACTTGAGGTCAGGAGTTCGAGACCAGCCTGGCCAACATGGCAAAACACTGTCTCTACTAAAACTACAAAAAAAATGTAGCAGGGTGTGGTGGCAGGTGCCTGTAATTTCAGCTACTCAGAAAGCTGAGATAGGAGAGTCACTTGAACCCAGGAAATGAAGGTTGCAGTGAGCTGAGATCACACCACTGCACTCCAACCTGCACAACAGAGTGAGACTCCATAAAGAAAAAATACATATTTTAATGGGCAACGGTAAGCTACAGTGCCCATGGACACACACGAGCCACAAAACTATCAAAAGAAAAACACAGGGCAGGGGCGCAAGACGCATCAGGACACATTGGACGGGGCTGCAGCCACATGGGCCTGGAAGGGGCTTCTGAGAAACAGGTGGCCTTTTCACCTCTTGATCAAAGTGGCATTTGCCTTATAATAATTAATTAAGCCACACATTTAATTTGGGTGGTTTTCTGTATCTGTCCTAAAAAGAGTTTTAAAAAATCTTTGGGTGAGTGGCCCTTAGTGTCCTGCTGCCACGTTACATGGTCAGATTCTCTGGGAGTTTCTAGACAGTGCAGGGGGGGCTCGAGGCAGCCAGGGCCCTGAGGAGCTGTGGGGTGGGGAGACTCGAGGGGCCCTGCCCCAAATAGGCCAGGAAGAAACACTGACCTCTCACACCTACAGGCCTCGCTCTGCAGCAGGAGGACTTCTGGCCCTGCCCCTGCCTGGAGCCCTGCCGAGGGCCCAGCACCGCCCCGCACAGGCCTGTACCTTGTGGGTCAGGGCGGCATAGAGCAGGTAGCCTGCCTGGGTATGGACAATGCCCTTGGGCATTCCAGTGCTCCCTGAGGTGTACAGCATGAAGAGCACGTCCTCGCTGCCCATGCTCTCTGGGACGCATACAGGGTCTTCCTTGGCCATTTCCTGGAAGGGACAAGAAACAAAGAGCCCACCGAGGGCACTCAGCCTCTGAGAGCACCACTCCCCCTCCACAGCAGGACTCCGCACACGGGATTCAGAATTCACCTGCTCTGACCTGTCCAAGTTCAATTCCAAATGTGGAAAGGACACAAAACAAAAGGGTGGGTGCAATCATTTGTGTTACAGTAAGTGTTCCAACCTCCCTGTCATATTGGAGTTTTATCTTCCCAGACAGTACTCAAGCTCACCAAATACCACAGAGGAAACCTGGGCACCTCTAGGGAACCCAAATTGAGAACTACAACCCAAGAAGTCTCAGAGCCAACTAACTTGATATGACCTCTCCTCAAACTATGCAAAGTGAGGTAACCTACCTGCTCCAGCGGGACATCCAGATCCCCCATGTGGACCTTGTTGTCTGTCCTGTGAGCCACCAGGACACGCTGCACGGTGGGGCAGTGCTTCACAGCCTCATCCACTATTTTCTTCAGCTCCATCACGCACCCACCCCGGAGTCCTTGGTTGAAGGTGATAACCACCCTGCACTTGGCTAACAGAGACAACACAGACATTTCTGATCAGTCTCCTCCCGACTTTGGCCCTCATAGCTCTGACTCACATAGAACATCCAGGCCTAGGACTGTGAGAAACTCAGTACCATCTCGAGTAAAAGACTCGATGGAAAAAGTGAGGGGCTGTCTGCTCTCCAGCCTTTGTGTGCCATGAAGAAGCACCAGGCCTTTGTCCAGTTCTGAGGCTAAGGGGAAGGAACCAGAGATAAATCACTTTGAAGCTCAACTCTTCCTCCTTGAGTCAGCAGCATAAAGACAATTTGCCAACCAGACTTCCACCTTTCTCTCCTGTCTGCCCAGGAGCAAACCCCAGGAAAGGGGCCATCCTGCCACCTGCAGCAATCAAGGTGACAGAGAAACACCAAGAAGCAGAGACCAAGAAAGTTGGACAAACAGAGGCCAAACCCAAAGGTGTCCCATGTGGCCAGGCCCTGTCTAGAGTGACGTGTGTGGGTCAAGAGCCTTCACTGTCCAGAGATCAGAAACTACACCCCAGTGGATGATTGGGAGCTGCTTGCCCTCCTCACCTTCAGGAGAAGGCCCTCCTGATCCCACACCTGCTCTTCAATGACCAATGGTGCTCAGCCAGGCCCAGGGGGAAGCCAGGAGGACCTTAGCTTCCATGGTTAACCTAGGGGGAGGCCCAGAGCAGGGAAGAGGGGTGCACACACAATGGGCCTCGAGACCCCAGGAAAAGGAGGTGTCCGCCATGCTGTTCCCCAGTGCGGGATGACCCAGAGGGATCACAGCTGCAGGGGGTTACTACACAGCCCCTCAGGAAGAGCCTGGGACAAATGTCCAGCTGTGACCCTGACTGGCAGGGCCTCACCCACATCCCTCAGGCCTTTCAGTCATTTTGCACCAAAGGCCTCTTGCAGAGCTATGGACAGAAGTGCTTGGGAACCCTCGACCAATGACTCTCAATAGTTGGGGTACAAATCCTGCAACTCCCCACCCTTTGCATGGAGCCATTTGAGGCATGTGTGCCACATTCCTGTCCAGAGCCTCTCTGCAGATGAATCTCCGGTCACCCTCTGTGGCCTCACTCAACACTGCCCTACCACACTTCCAAGACAGACTCTGGTCTCAATGTTCCCTTTGGGAGAGTCCTACCTAAATAAATCTGAAAGCACTTTTGCGCAACATGCCCACCCTTTCTCCTCCTGAGAGCCCTGGAGATGTCACGGCATGAAAGTTCCCTGAGAATTCTGCAGCACACACAGGACCATCCAGGGGTCAGAGAGATACTCTAGGCTGCCCTTGTGCAGCCACCCCTGCCTGGCACCAAGAGCCATGGCTACACACACTCTTTGCCCTGCAAGCTTCAGCGATAGCTCACCTGGGGAAACCAAGTCAGTTGGGTGGAGCCTATCAGAGACTTTCCAGACCTACATCCCCGAGTAGGGGTTGGTCCAGGCAAGCCCCCTGTAAGCGAGGAAGGGAGATGGTCCAGCAGGAAGGAATGAACCTTTCTCAAGGGGATGGGAGACAAAGAAAGCTCATGGGGATGAGGATCTTTCATGAAACAGTGACCACAGCCCGTGCAACATGCTGAAATCACACTACACAGCAGGCAGTTCCTTCCCTGCCTCCCAAGGCACACACCTCGCTCCTGACTCGCACCTGTCCAGGGCCTCCCTGCCCAACAGGCTCTCCATGAGAGTCCTCTAGGAGGTACGCAGGAGCTTCTGAGCACCATAAGCATGTCTGGCCCACTGGTGCCCTCCAAGGCTGGGCCACAGCATGGGTGCTGGCAGGAACCACGTGTCACTCTGGGAGGATTTGACTGTCCCTCCCTGGATTTGAGCAGGCACCAGCATCTGCGTTCATTCTCTGCTGCTTCCATAACAAATAACACAAACTCAGTGGCTCGGAACATTCATTTTTAGCTCACAGTTCTGTTGTCTGGACAGGCTTGGCGGGGTTCTCTGCTTAGAGTCTCGCAAGGCCAAAGTCAAGGACAGAGCTGGCTCCTATGTTGTGGCTCTGGGGAAACATCCACCTCCAGGCTCATTCAGTGGTTGGCAGAACTCAGTTCCATGCGACTGTGGGATTAAGGTCGCCCTTTCCTTGCTTACTGTCAGCCAGGGGTCATTCTCAGCGACTACAGCCACCACCTGCCCTGGTTCATGGCCCTGTTTATCTTCAAAGCCAACAATGGCGGGTAAAGTTGCTTTGAATCTCTCTGACCTCCCCTTCTGCTTCACTTCCTCTGCCTCTACTGGGAGCAAGTTCTGTGCATTTAAGGGCTACGGGATTAGATGGAGCCCACCTGGATATCCCATTGCCTTACATCTGCAAAGTCCTTTCACCATGCAAGTGACATGGCACAGATTCCGGGGGATTACAGTGTGGCCATCTGAGTGGGTCATTATTCTGCCCCCACAGCCTCTCTCAAAGCCATTCCCCTGACCTCTATCCTCCCCTCCAACACCCTCTACTCCTCAAGCAGCCTAAAGCAAGAGGGAAGACAAATGAAGAGGGATGGTCCAAGCCTGGAAGTCAGGCCAGGGGAAGGAACTCTGGAACTGCGCCTGCTGACTGAGGTGGCTGCCCAGACATGTGATACCCTGGCAGTCAGACTCACAATATGCACCCACCTCCCAGCGACCAACTGAAGATGGCTGCACATTCTTTCACCTGCTCTTATAGAGAAGCTGGATCCAGGTCTCCTCCCCTTGAATCTGGAATGGCCACAGACTGGTTTGGCCAATCTAGTAAGGCAAGAGTGATGCCAGGCCTGTGCCAGCCTGGCCTGTAGGACACTGGCAGTTGCTATTTCCTTCCTCTTGGAGCCATGTGCTGCCATGTGACAAGCCTGACTGCTGAGGCTGCAAGGCTATGAGGAAGCCCAAGTCAGCCACGTGTAGAGGCCACATGGAGAGAAAGAGAGGCCCACCAGTCCCCAACCCTTCAAGTCAACCTGACTAATGTCCCAGATGTCATGGAGCAGAGAACAGCCATTCCCCGTCCCCATCTGATTCCTGTTCCACAGATCCATGAAATAGAGTAATAAAATTTATAGTTTTCAGTTGTTTTAAGCACTAAGTTTTGGAGTAGTTTGTGACACAGCAATAGAAAATCAAAACAGCCCCTCATTGACTCAAGAGGACACAAATACCCATCTTAATAGAATCTTGTCCCCAGGAACCCGGCACCTGCAGAGCTGCACAAGGAGGCTGAAGGATATCAGAGTCCTCTTCAGAACAGACTCCTGGCCCCTGCCCTCTCATGCTTGGTTGTTTAGCAATTCTGAGGTTCTGGGAGCACCCCAGCATCCAGCTACTAAATCCCCATATGCTGAAGTCACCAAGAGTCAACTGCTATTGCTTGTTTCAAACAATCTTAACAGAAGCACTGGGTGACCATGGCCACACCAGCAAGAGAGGAAAGGGGCAGCTTAGCATAATGCTGAAAGCATGAACTATGGCGGCAGAATGTCTGTGTTCAACTCCTGGCTCTGTCAATTACTAGGTATGTGACCTTAGATAAGTCACTTAAACTCTCTGCGTCTCAGTTTACTCATCTTTAGAAAGAGAATAGTAACCTCCCAACAAAGAAAAGACCAGAACCAAATGACTTCACTGGTGAAGTCTATCAAATATTTAAAGAATTAGCAACCAATCCTTCTCAAACTCTTCCAAAAAAACTGAAGAGAAGGAGATACTTTCAAATTCATTTTATGAGGCCAGTATTGCCCTGATACTAAAGCCAGACAAAGATTACTACAAAAAAAGAAAACTATAGACAAATATCTCATATAAACAATGATGCAAAACTCTTCCACCAAATGCTAGCAAACTGTACCCAGCAGCATATTAACAGAATACACCATGACCAATCAGGACTTACCCTAGGAAAAGTGGTTCAACATGCAGCAATCAATCACTGTAACACATCACACTACTCCAATGAAGGAAAAAACACATCTCAATTGACACAGAACAAGCTTTTGACAAAATCCAATACCCTTAGATGATCAAAAACTTAAAACCAGGAATAGAAGGGAACTTAATTGATAAAGGGCATCTGAAAACCCACAGTTAACATCATATTAATGGTAAAAGACTGAAGCCTTCCCCCTAAGATCAGGAACAAAACAAGGATGCCCACTTTTTACCACTGCAATTCAACATTATAAAAGAAGCTGTTGCCAGAGTGATTAGGCCAAAAAAAAAAAAAAAGAAATAAAAGACATCCAAATTGGAAAGGAAAAAGTAAAACTATCTCTAGTCACAGATGACATGATCTAATATGTATAAATCCTAATGAATCCACAAAAAACTCTTTATTAGAGCTAATAAATCAGTAAATTTGCAAGATACAAGATCACTATGCAAAAATTAGCTGTATCTCTATATATTAGCAATGAACAATACATAAAGGAAATTAGGAAAACAATTTCATTTATAAAAATTCATAAAAGAATAAAATACTTAGGAATAAATTTAGCCTAGGATACGCAAGACTTGGACACTGAATACTACAAAATACTGCTGAAAGAAATTTTAAAATACCTAAGTAAATGGAAAGATACTCCATGTTTGTGGATTAATATTGTTGACATGGCAATACCCTCCAATTTTTCTACAGATTGAATGCAGTTAAAATCCCAACATCTTTTTTTGTAGAAATGGAAAAGCTAATCCTAAAATTCTTATGAAAATACAAGAAACCCAGAAGAGCCAAAATGATCTTGAAAAAAAAAAAAGAACAAAGTTGGGAGACTCACACTTCCTGGTTTCAAAACTTACAAAGCTACAATACCAAAACAGTTTGGTACTGAGATAACAACAGATAGATAATCATATGGATAAATGGAATAGAATAAAGAGCCCAGAAATAATCCCTTCCATATATGGTCAAATTATTTTCAACAAGAGTACCAAGTCCACTTAACAGGGAAAAGAATAGCCTCTTCAACAAACAGCACTGGGACCAATGGATAGCCACAGGACAAAGAATGAAACTGGACGCTTACCTCACATCCTGTGCAAAAATCAGCTCAAAAGTAAAGACCTAAATGTAAAAAGGTAAAACTTAAACTCTTTGAAGAAAACATATGAACAGGGAGGCCGAGGCGGGTGGATCACGAGGTTAAGAGATCGAGACCATCCTGGCCAACATGATGAAACCCCGTCTCTACTAAAACTACAAAAGTTAGCTGGGTGCAGTGGCACGCACCTGTAATCCCAGCTATGTTTCTTCAACAAACAGCACTGGGACCAATGGATAGCCACAGGACAAAGAATGAAACTGACGCTTACTCACATCCTGTGCAAAATCAGCTCAAAAGTAAAGACCTAAATGTAAAAAGGTAAAACTTAAACTCTTTGAAGAAAACATATGAACAGGGAGGCCGAGGCGGGTGGATCACGAGGTTAAGAGATCGAGACCATCCTGGCCAACATGATGAAACCCCGTCTCTACTAAAACTACAAAAAGCATGGTGCAGTGGCACGCACCTGTAATCCCAGCTACTCGGGAGGCTGAGGCAGAAGAATCACTTGAACCCAGGAGGTGGAGGTTGCAGTGAGCTGAGATCATGCCACTGCACTCCAGCCTGGGTGACAGAGCAAGACTCCATCTCAAAAAAAAAAAAAAAAAAGAAAGAAAAAGAAAACATAGGAAAATCTCATTGGATTTAGCGAGCCAAATAATACAGCAAAGACACAGGCAGCAAAATAAAAATCGATAAATTAGACTTCATTAAAATTTAAACCTGCACCAAAGTTTACTACTGAGAAAGTGAAAAGACAACCCACAGAATGGGAGAATATTTGCAAATCATATGTCTGATAGAGGTCTAATATTCATAATATATAAGTAACTTACATAATCAACAACAAAAGACAACAAGCAATTAAAATATGGGCAAACAGCTTACAGACTTTTTTCCAATGAAAACATACAAATGGATAACAGGTGCGTAAAAAGATGTTCAATATTATTAAGAATATTAGGGAAATGCAAATCAAAACTACAAATGAGATATTACTTCATTCTCACCACTTTATGCCATAATTTTTTAAGTGAAAAACAAGATGCAGAGAAACTGAGCCCACATATACTATTGGTGGAAAATGTAAATGGTGCATCTCCTAGCACAACAGTTTTGCAGTTCTTTGATAAGTTAAACATGGAATTACCACATGAGCTGGGCAAGCCCACTCATAGGTACATAACCCAAAATTAAAAGCAGGTGTTCCTATACATGAACATCCATAATAGCTCTATTCACAATAGCCAAAAAATAGAAACAACTCAATGGCTATCAATTAATGAATGGATATTACTCACTCTATTTAAAAATGAAATACACATGCCACAACATGGATGAATAAAGAATGTTCGCCTAATGGGCAAAGCAAAATACTTCCTTGAGTGATGAAAAACTCTTCAGGTATTAGTGATGATGACTGCATAACACTGTGAATGCACTTAATGTGACTGACTTGTACACTTTAAGATGGTTACAACAGTAATTTTAGGGAGGAATAATACAGTGTTATTGCATAAAATACCTATGAAGACTAAGTGCAAATTAAAGACATAACCTTTGTAGAGTGCTTAGAACAGTGCCTGGTACACAGTTTGTATTACAGAGTTCTAGAGAGAGGAAGAAAAGAGAAACAGTGGCATCACCTTGAACGTGAGGGGGAGGAAAACTCCTGAAAGGAAGTGGAAGGGGCTTCTCCCCAGACTTTGACACAGAGGAGGTCAACAGGGGTCTGAGAACCCTACCCACTAGTTCTATTTTCTATGAGACGCAAGAGTTCTCAATGGCCCCTAGAACCTGGCACCTGCCTTGCAAAACCAGCTCAGGGGACTCCCTCCAGGAGACAGCAGGGAGCAGAGATCAGACTGCATGGATTGTTTCATTCAGACACTCAGTCCTTTGACAACAGCAAAACAAGGAAGGCTGTTCTGCACAGTGTCCAAAACACACTGACCCACATGCAGACAGAAAGACTTCTCTCACCTGACTCCAGATCCCCAAAGATGGTCCACCCCTTCGCTCCTCAGGATAGAAGGTTTCCAGTTGTTGACCTGCGGGACCTTCTCTGTTTGTCTCCAGCCTCATCCCACCTCCACACTTCCTTCCTGCTGCACTACAACCGCCTCCACTAGGCTCCTCATGCTGCGTCCTCCTCCACTCAGCCTGTGCTCTGCTGTTCCTCCACCTGGAATCCTCCCTTTTTCATCTGGCTAAATCTGTCACACTCAGATCTCAGCCTGCTATGAACAAATTCCTCATTCACATGTGTCTTGTAGTCCCTAGTAGGATCTGTCATTTGTCCGTGTGACATTTGCCACTGTCTGCACTCTAAGGGCCCTACACTGATGGCCAGGCCTCTATGAACAAGGATCAGGAACTCCCGGTGATTCCCTCCGTCCCCACGCCCACCTCTCCTCACCATCATTGATCCTCCCAGCCAAGGACGCCGTGACTGAAGCCAGCAAAGATGACTGTGTGGGATAGCCCGGTCCTGGCACAGGCCAGCATTGCTGCCAGCCAGTGGGGACACGGGCATGTAGATGGCAACACAGTCCCCACGGCGGACTCCATGCCTCTTCAGCGTGTTGGCCAGACGGCAGGTTGTCTCCAGCAGTTCCCTGCAGCACAAGGAAGAGAAAGCCATCAGAGATTGAGGAGGGCCAAAACACAGAGCAAATTGGGGGTGGATAATACTGCAAATGTTATGTCATATACACTGCAGCTCAAAAGTGCCAGGATAACAGGCACTTGAATACTTAATGCATGGAAAGTAATTTTTCCAGAAAAAGAAAAGTTTTTAACATTTGTAGATTGCTATTGACAGAGATTCACTGCCGCATTGCTAGGGTGGATAAGGCTATCCTAAGTCCACTTTATGGCAGGGTTTTGTTAGGGGAACAGGAGCGTAGGAGCATTTTTAGACTAATTCCATCTAAAACTAGGGGCAAGGCACATTCTTTGTCAGTCACGACCTACAGTCCTAAGATGTTTACAGCTGAGGAAGCAGCTTAATACCTGCAAAAGGCAAACTCTGCAACAGAATGTCCAGATGCCCCAACATTGCATAACATACGCTAAGATGATTATAGCAATGCCTAATGCACCTTTATGCACCAAAATGCCAAGGATAGCTTTCTTCAATCAAACAAAGTAATAAATGTCACTTTTGTCAGCTCTACCCGGAGGGAGACATAGCTTTGCTTTTACATAGATAAGACCCCTATATAAGAAATAAACAAAACAGGCATTTCGCCTTCTTGTTGAGGAGGCCTCTACTTTGTAACTGAGAAGCTTTCAATAAACTACTTTTTCACTGAGCTCAGCCACTCGCTTCTCTTGGATTTTCTTCCTGGCAAGATCCAAGAACCTTCTCCTGGGATCTGGATGGGGACTCCCCTTTTTCAGCAGCAGCTTCTCAGGACCACAAGTGTCTGGAGGCATAGATCATCATGGTTCCAAAACTTCTGAAAATGTTTGCCTCCAAAAGAAAGACTGATCTCATAAGACATTTAGTCAAGAAACGACAGGTCCCAGATTTTTGAATTAACACAGCCGAGGGGCACTACAAACAATGCCCTCAGCGGACAGGACCAGGCCCAGAGGGTGGACTCCCAGCTCTGCAAAGCCACAGGAGTCAGGAGGAGGGCTGCAGGCAGGGCAAGCTTACATCTCCTGCTGCCCCAAGACAGCACGGGCAGGTAGAGCAAGCACCCCAGCTTTCCTGCTGCTGGGACCATGGTGACGAGGGAAGTGGGAAAGCACTGGGCACCTGTCTCGGCCCCCACGTCGTCTCCCCACGCGCCTACCTCTACGCGGTGTGCGTGTCTCTTCCTCTCTGGCCACTCTGGGGCCTAGCACCAGGTTTACTCCGCCAATCAGGTGCAGCATCTCTGGGCAAGCTGATTGGTTCAGGGTTGACACGTGACCCAACCTGGTCCAGTCAGAGTCAACCATACTAACTCCTGGGAAAACCTGAGCACGGGAGAGCTGCCACTTGCCCACCATGCAGCGGGAAGTGGAGAAAAAGAAGCGATTCAAGGTTGTCTTTCCTTCCGGGCCTCCTCATCTCTTCTGAGTCTGGACTCAAGCAATTGCATTAACCACTTTCCCACTCTGCTGTAATGGACGCACTAATTATTTGCAATAAAAAGAGCTAACACATAAGGAAGAATGAGGGGAAGCTAAGGTTCTTCTCTCTGGGCGGGCAGTGGCTACCAGCTCGCAACCGCCTGCAGAGGCTCAGAGCAGACCTCCCCGGGCTTGCAAGGCCCTCGCAACGTGTTTGCATAGCTCTCCTCTGTTCAAAGGGTAGCCGAAGGAAAGGCCTCAGAACAGTGAAGCCTGACGAGGCCACCCTGGGAGTCCAGCAGAATGAAATGAGCTTCTCCAGATTACAGGTAGAAGTCAAGGAGGCCTTTTGTTTCTTCCCAAGGCCATCTGCGGAGGGGACCACATGAGAACCAGTCCGCAGTTCTCCCCGCAGCCAGCACGCCTGCCTGTGCCTGGCTCCAGCAGCCTCTTCTGTGGATTTCATCGCTTTTCCTTCGGGCTGCAGAAGGAGGACAAAGGCGCCATTCAGTGGCGCCCACCCACCCTTGCCAAGGTTTGTGATAAAAGACAGAACACTCCCAGGAAACCCCCAGCACCAAGCTCTACAGTATTTAGGTCAGCAACACTCCCAAGCTACTCCGGGAGGAGGCTGGTGGCCTGTGACCGCTGGGAAGAGGGAGCCATGGTCAACAGCAGGGAAGAGCTGTCCAGCATCCTCGGCCAGATTCCGCCATAGCTCTGAGAGCTTGGCTCACTGCTACTTAGAGATGAAGGCTTGAATGTATGCTCACCAGTAAATGGTGATGAAATTCAGTCCCTGTTCTGCAGACGGAGGGCAGCAATCTGAAGCCAAGAAAGGACACCAGACTGTCCCAACAGAAAGGCCTGGGGTAGCTTTCTGTAGTAGCTGCTTCAAGCATGGGAGCTTATCTTTCTGAGCTGCCATGTGACCATCTGAGAAACAGCAAGCACCCTCCACCTTGTGCAGCTGTCACAAGTATAATAAGTAAAGCAAGACTGACTTGGAAGTCTGCCAGACATTCAGTAGGAATCGCTCTTTCCCTGGCCAGATGGAAACTCTCAGAAATCTTTGTGTGAAATCGCTTTCAAAATGACAAAAAAATCAGCCAATCACTTCAGTGAATCTAAGATGTTAAAAATCCCATTCTAGGTACCTTTGGGAGTGAGTGGGGTGTTTGCATCGAGAAAGAAATTGACAGGGAAAGTGTCCTCCAGGAGCACAGCTCTGATGGGGAAATGACGGCACGTGTGAAGGTGTGCAGGGCACTGAGCAGTCACAGCTTGGTGGTATAGCCACTGGGGGTGGCAGGGAAGGCAGCAGGGAGCGCTGTAGATTAGCTGTTGAGAGGAGGACTGGGGAAGAAAGAAGAGTGGATTTTCCTATAGTGACATCACCCAGTCATTGGAGCTTAAACGACAGCCTCCAGGGAGGCCCAGAGACAAGGTTTCTGGAAGACTGAGGTCTCAACATGGGTCCAAGAGCTGAAGCAGGGTCTGGTGAGTCCCACACTCTTGCTGCTGAGTCCAGAGGAGAGGCTTCTGATAAAGGATTTGATCCAGGTAAATCTCAGAGCTCTTCCTTCCTATTTTCTCTGCTAAGAGAAATACTTCCTGGCAGAGAAGTGAAAGGATCCTTGAAGTGGAAAGGATCCTGGACGCCAGGCGTGCAGCCTCCTTGGGGTTCTGAAATCTGGTAGCCACATTTTGGCCCACAACAGCCCAGCTCTGCTAAAGATCACACTGCCAGAGCCTACCTCATGGGCCACTTCTCTGTCACTTTGTAGGGAAATGTCTACCAAAAATTGAACAAAATTTGCAACTCTTCAAACTCTACCTTAGTCTTACCTCAGACCTTAAAGCTTCCCAGAATAAATCTAATTTCTCAATGACAGCCTTTCAAATTCCTGCAATATTCCCACCCTCCATCCTCTTGAAGCTTTTCCTCCCCAGGTTCTCTTGGTCCAGCCTCCATGACGGCAATTGCACTCAGTCTCGGTAGATACCCCCAGATTTAGAAGTGAACCCCCACATTCTCATGCTGCCTGCCCAGAGCTGAAATGTGGGTACTCCAGACTTGACTTCAATTCTATATTTAACCATGTTTATTTTTTATTTTTTTATTTTTCTGAGGTGTGAGTCATTTTTTTGCCCAAAGCTGGAGTGCAATGGCTCGATCTCAGCTCACCGCAACCTCCACCTCCCAGGTTCAAAACCCATTCTCCCATACCTCAGCCTCCCGAGTAGTTGGGATTACAGGAACGCACCACCACACCCGGCTAATTTTGTATTTTTAATACAGATGTGGTTTCTCCATGTTGATCAGGCTGGTCTGGTCTCGAACTCCCCACCCTCAGCCATCCACCCACCGGCCTCCCAAAGTGCTGGGATTACAGGCATAAGCCGTCACTGCGCCAGGCCGACCATATGGATTTCTGAAAATACCTGACAGGTGGGCCCAAATTCACATGAGATCACTAACCTGCACCCTCCAACTCCTAATACATGTAACAGATGCCCTTTAACTAGGGCTTTCTCATATTATGGCTGGGTGGAAATGTTTTGTGTTTTTTTAAAGTAGGCTTTCCATTTATCCCAATCTAATTTATTCAATTTCTCCCATCTCTCCAGATGACTTTTTTTTTTTAGATGGAGTTCCCACATCACCCAGGCTGGAGTGCAGTGGTGCCATCTCCGCCACTGCAACCTCCACCTCCCAGGCCCATGGGATTCTCCTGCCTCAGCCTCCTGAGTAGCTGGGACTACAGGCGTGCACCACCACACCCAGCTAATTTTTGTATTTTTAGTAGAGACGGGTTTCACCATGTTGGCCAGGCTGGTCCGGAACTCCTGACCCCCAAGTGATCCATTGTGCCTTGGCCTCCCAAATGCTGGAACAGAGCATGGAGCCACTACACCAGTCAATTTTGAAGCCTGATTTTGAAACAAACTTCTCATTTTTCATTAGCACATCTCCAGACACATACATTGGAAAATATGGTCAGCAAACTTAGGTCTTCAAATCATCGAAAAATAAATGTTGTTCAAGCAAGTGATCCTAATGATTCCAAGTACTCAGTAACTATTTAAAGACGTTTGGATATTCAATTTCTCAGACTTCCACAAATCCGAAATGTTACTGTTTCTGTATCAGAAAGATAAGGCAGCCACTCAGTGACTGATGCTGGCTACAGTTGCAGGAAACAGTGGCTTCTCACTACCTGCAGGATCCTCTTTGTAGCACCCTAGCAGGTCTCCAAAGCACGGATGCAGCTTTCTAAGTCACTAAAATGAGTTAGGAGTTTTACTTTAAGTCCAAGAAGAAATATAACACTTGTTGTTCAGGTACTGAGCAGAATATTTAAGTTTGTTCAGTAATGTAGACTCTGCCGGGTCAAGCTTTTGGTGTGGATACAAATGATGTGCAGAAAACACAAATTTGGTCTTGTACCCTGGTACTTAACGCTAGGAAAATGCTGACCGGCCTTGGGGAAGGTAGAAGACTTATTTTCAACTCTTAACATCAACTGGGAATAACTTTTATCAATGCTAAAGATATAATCTGGACGGCAATTGATCTAAATATGATAACTATTTGAACTCAGACGTATACAAATGCACCACTACTCTACCCCACCCTCAGAATTTAAAATTAGTCCAAAACAGGAACAGCTGGAACAGAGTTCAGAGGAAAGAGAAGAAGAAATGCACTGGTATTTATTTTTTTCATCTATCTTTCAATCAGAGCTAGCTTTCACATGTTAATATTGAAAGTATCTTTTTCTCCTAGATATTTTCTGGATGAGGGCCCTGGTAAGTGGAGTCCAGGTGGTGTTAATGTTTAAGAAATAAACAAATTCGAGGCTGGGCATAGTGGCTCATACCTGTAATCCCAGCACTTTGGGAGGCTGAGGCAGGCAGATCACTTGAGGTCAGGAGTTCAAGACCAGTCTGGCCAACCAGCAGCAAAACCCCATCTACTAAAAATACAGAAATTAGCTGGGCGTGGTACTGCACGTCTGAATCCCAGCTACTTGGGAGGCTGAGGCAGGAAAATCGCTTGAACCCGGGAGGTGAAGGTTGCAGTGAGCTGAGATCCCACCACTGCACTGCAGCCTGGGTGACAGAGCTAGACTCTGTCTCAAAAAAAAAAAAAAAAAAAAAAGAGGGAGAGAGAGAGAGAGAGAGAGAGAGAGAGAAAGAGAAAGAGAGAAAATTGAGAATGCATGATTGCTTACTGCTTACAATTATTCTGCACTAGTATTCAAGAAATAAACACTAGCTAACAGACTTTTGTTGTCCATCAAGTACAAGGTCTGCTTGCAGAGATTTGGCCTTTGCTTATTGCCTCTTCCCAGCATCCACCTAGCTCATATAAGGTACTCAATAAACATTTGTTGAGCGAATATGTCATCCTGTCACTGCTCCCCTGCTGGCTACCCAAGCTTCTCCAGCCATGTTTGTTTGTCACCATGAGCACAGGAAACCTCCTCTCCAGGCCCATGGTCTCCTACCTCTTCACCATTCGGGGTGTTCCCTTCCTGCCTCTCCTCCCACCTGCCCTCACCCCACCCCCCAGTTCACAGCCCCATCCTATGGAATGAGGACAAAGAGTCAGCTCAAGCAAGCATCCTGTACTCCGGGGCTGCTCCTATGGAGCAGGTTCCTCATGGAGAACTCACTTAACTCCTCTACAAAGCCCATGGGCTCTGAGCCCTGGCATTCCCTCTCTCACTTTCCTGATGAGGAAATTGGAGGACAGAGGTTGAGCGCTTTCAAGGCTATTCAGCTGAAGGACAGGGCTGGATTCAAACCCAGGCTCAGCTCCAGGGCCTTGCTGTCAGCTAGCTCCCCAGCATTAGAACCACTCCTATTGCAAAGGCTCCCAAACTTCAAAAGATTTGCCATCTGAGAATAAAGTTATAATTATTCATCTAACATTTTCTTGGAGTTAATTTACTTTTAATACAAATTTATTCTAAGAATGTCCTATTCTGAACCTGAGGCTGATTCTCTGTCTAAAAGGGAAAGTTAGCAAGAAAAGTGCTCAAAGCCCTCACACTCATGGGGGTGTTCAACCGAGCCTTTCTTCTCATCACCAGAATGGAGGACAGGGCTGAGGGTGGGTGTGGAACGGTGTTTTCCTTCATCATTCAGTATCTGGCTCCTCGCTCAGGGCCATCTGCCCAGGCACACCCCAGCACAAAGCCAGGAGTCAAATCCCACATCCTTAGTTTTCTTTTCTCCTCTGACCACAGCCTGTTGGGTCAGCTTCTAAGAAATTTGTAGGATGGAATACCAGGCCAGACTCCAGAGAAGCTCTGTCCATTCCTGTTAACGCCTGGTTTTCCCTTCAACCTCAGCACTTGGCTTTTTGGCTCAAGTCTCTTCTGGAAAGAAGTTCTCTTTTCCAGATACAAAGCCCAGCCTACATGACTTGGAGTGAATCCAGTGTCAGCCTGAAGAACTTGGGAGGTTCCTCAGAGGCTGGCAGCCCAGGACAAGAGCACACTAGGGGACTTGAATGGGAAGCCAGCTCCTGAGAATAGCTGGTTCCCTGGCAGAACATTCACCCTGGCTGACAGACTTGTTTACCTCCTGGGAGAAAGCCACAGAAGTGAGTCCTTTCCCTAGTGGAATTTGGAAGGGATGAGAGGTTTTAACATTCTGTAAACATTCACTTTCCCTGTGGTTGAAAAAACCACAGGAGATTTTGCAGGTCCTCACTCCAGGTTTGCACGCCCACATGCCCTCTGTTCTGCCTTCTCTGAATGGCTCTAGCCAGAGCCCATTCAGCTGCCACAGACACAGCACAACACAGGGCA